AGTGGTTTTCCTGGGCTTAATCGCGTTAGTAGAGACCCCGCCAATCTTGGGTGGTCGACCTCTCCGCTTTCCAGGGACCACAGCGCCAGCAGCTCCGGCCGCGCCCTTGGGTCTTCCTCTGGGCCTTGGTAAAATAGGAGCAACAGCAGCCGGAGCATCAGCATAAGGAACAGCCATGGGTTGAACCTGGATCGGCAAAACAGCCGATGGGGGTAACTGGGTCAAGGCCTTAGGCGGACGTCCACGGCCTCTTTTCACCGCATTAGCCCCCACCACTGACCTCACCGTCTTCGGCTTCCTCGGCCGACCGGGGCTCTTCTTGGGTCCACTTTTCGGCGGGCGACCCCGGCCCTGCCTGGGCCCTAGTTGACCGGCGGGCCCATCTTTCCTGGGCCTCCCGGGGGATTTCTTAGGCCCATCAGCCAGAGCAACGGGCTGCTGAGAGTTGGGGTCAACAGTGGAGAGTGTGGGCTTGGGCTTGGGAGGACGGCCGCGGCCCCTTTGGGCCCAGGAGAAGCATCGGAAAGGGTGAGGGGGGGCTGAATCCGGAAGGGAAGCATCAGATCTAGCTGCGCTAGCAAGCTTGTAAGATTTCTTGACCATGACGAGAATACCGTTGTTTTTCAAGCGCTTCAAGTGGTGAGTCAACAAGGCCGAGTGTGTCGGTGGTAAGTCTTTGTAAGCTGACTCTATGTACTTGGCTATCGCCCTTTTACTTGACCCGTTCCTCTCTTTCAAAGCCTCTATCGCCTCGCTTATCATCTCAGAGTAAGGCGGGTGGCTCAAATTAGGAGGGAGACCGGCGGTCGTAGTCGGGTTGGCCACGGCGGAGGATACGGGCGGGGATGATGGGCGGGGGAACGATCGGCGGAGAGGGTCTATGGGGATGGACGAGAGAGAAGGGTCCATTTTCTTGGATATGGATGAAAAAATTTGGGAAAGGGGTAATTTTGGTAGAGAGAGGAAGGATATTTTTTTCGCAGGAAAAGAGGGTAGCTGCTTCTTTTTAATTTTTTAGTGTAGATGAGAATATGGGCACGAAAGGGTTGGATTTTACGGGAAAGGTCATGCCTTCGGACCGTTGAAGCCCTGGTGTTTTGCCTTTATTCTCCCCTTTTTTCTGCTCCGCGCTGACGTGGCGATGTGGACTTTTATGTCTTTTTGCTATTTCCCGTTTGTTAAAGTGGCTCAGCTCTTTGTTTACTGGGACGTTTTGGTTTTTTCCCCTTTTCTTCTGCTTTTTATATTTCGTATCCACTTTATTTTACCGTTGTATGTCTTTAAGTTTATATTTCGAATACTGAAGTGGCTTCTATTTTTCTTAAAATAAATAAAATTCCCTGTGATTTGTCATTAAATGCTAGAAATGAGAGAGAAAATGTATTATTATATTTCAAAAATTTTCAAATTTTTATACTTGTATAAAAACTTCAACATTCTTTAAGTTTTTAAAAATATCGTTAACCAAGACTCTTTTAAATTTTAATCATAATTTTAAGTGGATCCATTAATATTCATAATGGATAATTTAAACTTCAAACATGTAAATGATTTTAACAAATAAATATGAAATGTCTAAAATATTTTTATTTTTTTCATCTTTTTCACTATTTTTTCCTTGCATGTTGGCCAACAATGCTCCCTTACACTGGTAGCCAATGAAGCTCACTTACACCTATAGGTTACCCTACAGTCGGATCTAATCATGAAATGTCAGATTTGGTCAAATCTCTACACTCCTCCTACTGCACTCGCTTAAGAAGGTCAGATCCAGCCACAAGATGGTCAGTTGGTGAGAGGTAAGGTAGAGAGATTTTTTTTTTCAATAAAAGAGAAAAAACTTTAAGAATGAAAAATTATAATCTATATAGTTTGGTAATTTTAAAAAGCATTAACAGTTAACTAATAGCTGAACTTCTGTGTCTAGTAAAATATATTCTTTCAAAACGGATTATTTATTTTGAATACTAATGGATCTGTGTAAAATTATGACTAAGTTAAAAATGATTACCTCAACTAATTTTATACTAGTATACTTTACATTTAAAATATTGAAAACATTCAATGACAATATATTACAATAATAATTAGGCTTAAACTTTAAAAACATTTATATTGAATAATTTTTATTTTGAATCAAATAAATTTTTAAAATTAACAGAAAAATAATCATCGTTTGCTTTAATGTCAATTGCACTTTTTTTTATCATGTGTCATATGACATGACATAACATGACATATGATGTTAGCTACCACTTGACCATATCATATGTTACATGAATAAAAAAAACATATTTAGTGTAAAATCCCACCTTAACGTGTGATGCTAAGTTAAGAAATCTTTAGGTGAGCGTACATGCTTCATAATTTGAACACTTAAAATAACTTTTTAACATTTGAAAGATTCAATTTTAGATGTTTTGAAATTATTTATAAAGTTTAATGTAAAAGGGAGTTCAAATGGACAAAGTTTTGAGTTTATTGTTATTTACTAGAACCTATCTATTGATAGATATTTTTCATCTATCTATACATACAAACTCAAAAAGGTTTGTAAGGAAATGGAAGAACATCTATCGATAAACAAATTTATCTATTCATAGATGAGACACATCTATCGATAAATAGCAACTCAAGAGTTTTTTGAAGAACCTTAAAGCCTATTTATCGATGGATAATCTTGATGTATCAATAGATAACACTATTTTCAGAAAAATAAAAATGATGAAATGTATTTTCACACCCTAAACTATAAATACTTCACTTTTTTTGAAGATTTGTAACACGTAATCATATTTGCAAGTTATTTGAAAAACCTTAAACCCTCTCTAACTCATTTTTAACCTAAATCACCATTTTGATGATTTTAAGCTTAGTTTTGAATTTTTATAAACAAAATGACATTTTTCAGCATTGAAAATTTTAAATCTTGATTTTCAGAAACTGAAAAATGTTGTCTTTGTGCTTAGATTTTTCTCTTAGTTGCTAAAGCTTAAGGTTTTGTAATTTTCCTTAGTATCAAAGTTTACCTAAGGTCAGGATGAATGATTTATGGGTTTCTAAACATTATTTAGTTAATGTAATAGTGGATTTAAGTTAAAAAATTAGTTTTAATTGAATTCGATTAGTTTCAAAAGTACTTGGAATGGGTATTATGAGATTATAAGTCTAAGTAACTGATTGCGATAATTGTCGAATGTTAGGAATGGTTGAAAACTTCAAAGAAATTACTAGAGAAAAGTTGTGATAATTGGAGTTAGAGGTTGAGTCTCTAAGTAGGTAAGTGGATACTTCTCTTTAAGTATTTTAATATGTAAACTGAGTATGATTTTTATGAAAATAATTGATTATGCATGATGAACTATTGTTTGAAGAATGATTTTTCAAAGGATTTGAGTTTCAAGGTTTTCAACTAATTTTTGAAAATATGACTAAATGATTGAAAGGATGATGATTTATTATGTTAGAGACACAAATGATTTTCAAATTATCTACAAATTTACTATATAAATAAAATATAAATTACTCTTTTAATCTTATATGAAATCGGGATTTATAGAAGCCATTCTTTTAAACGTTATAATAGTATGTCAATTTCAATTAAAAAGATAAAAAGAACTTTTGCCAATGTTTTAAAAGAAATATTTACTATGTCTTTGTGGCAACGAGTGAGTATTCTTTTTTTAGAATAAAAACTATTGATATGTAGCTAGTTAGTCTTGGATGGTTTGATCTAACAAAATACTGTTATCGCCGCAGAAGTAACAAAAGGTGGTAAATGAACTTGAACTCGAAAGCCTATTTGAAAATGTTCAATTTTAAGTTTGATTAAATTCAAATTGATAAAAAGTAAAAAATTTAAATTTAAAAAAAAATTAAAGTTTAATTATAGTTGTTAAATCGAGATATGTGTATCGTGTATCGAAATTTTATTTTTTAGTATCAAAGATCATATTGTATTATAAGATATGGTAAAAAATTTTAAAATTCATTATAAATAACATTTATACATGTAAAATAAAGAAAAAAATTGAAAGATATTATATTTTTTTAACAAAATTGAAGATTATAGGGAGTAAATTGAAAAGATTATTTTTTATTTAAACTTTGAACATATTCCTTAATAATATAGATTTTTAAATAAAAAATATATTTTTTCATATTAATTTATTAATTAAAAATTTAAAAACATAATTTGATTTCTTTAGTATTTTTTAATTTAAAATTTAAAAATTGAAACTCATAAAATATAATTTTTCATGTTCCAACAAAAAAAATAAAAATTTAAATTTTTTAATAATTAATTAAAATTAAACTTATAAAAGATGTATTGACTATATCGAATGTTATGTAATATATGTATTGCATATCATATGATACGCTTTCGATATTTAATTAAATATGATATAGTTATAAATATATGAAATTTTTTATTAATATTGTATCGATATTACATTTCATATAATAATGATAATTATGAGTTTAATATGACTAAACTCTAAATGATCTGAATTCATAATAATTTGAATGTGAAATCAAACTCGAACTTTAAACAAAAAAAAAATACAAAGTTTAGTTATTAATTTCATTTGAAAAAAAAAATTTAATTCGAATGTTAAACGATTTAACGAATTGTAATCTAAGGAGATGATTCAAACTCAAAATATGATCGGATCCACCTCGAGGCTGAGGTAGGAAGCCGCGGTGGGCCCAAATGAAGTATTCGCTGCCCAAATGTCCAATCATAGTGGGCCAACGCCACGACAGGGTCATCTAGACACATCCTCCTTCTTGACGTTGATCCACCACACCCAAATCACTACCCGCCACGTCATCCATTTATTCAGAGCCACCCAGACGTGGAGCCCTTTCGCAAACACCAGCAAAAAGACATTTACTGTCTGCCCCGTACTCAGGGTTAAGGTGTTTTCCTTTTCTTGTCAGTGGATTATTATCGTTATTGCCATTAGTAATTATTTAACTTAATCAAACGTATAATTTCGTATTTATTTTTATAATATTATATTAAAAATTAATTTTTCTAGTCCGCCACAGATCTCAGTTTATTCCTTTTTCTCTTTGGCCATAGCTCTCTGTCTCTCCCCTTCGCTGCTTCTCGTTAAACAAAAACACACAAGAAGGTAAGTTCCTTTTCTTTTTATAAATTTTTAATTTTGTTTTTTTTTTCAGATCTCATTTTCCTTTCACTTAATTATAATTATCTTCGATTTAATTGCTTTTAATCGAGTTGCACCAAATTCAGTCCCACCCCAGTTCGATCCGTTCATTCTACTGCTTTACATTTTTATGTTGTTCAATTTTTCTTTCTGTTTAATTTTCTTATTTTTCACTTAATTTTGATCGATTCTTAATTTAACGGTGTTTACCTTCTTCTTTTTTTTTATTTTTAATTTTGTTTGTAAGGGTTGCTAGTTTTGGTACTTGGATTCTATTTGGCCACTGAGAAAATGAAGGAAAATAAATAAAGAGGAATTTTAATGTTATATTGTAGTTGTGTTCGAACCATTTCTGACCATTGAAGTTTCATGATCTGTAGCTTGGCTTATTAGGTTGGTTGAGCCAAACAGACTTTAATTCTTTAAATTGGAAACAAAGTTTTAATTTTTTGTGTTTTGGAATAACGTGATTGGGACATATTGGTAAGTTATGCCTTCCTGATTCTGATTAAGATTAGTGGTGTATTTTGAAGAAATAAATTCTGCAAAATTTTATGGAATTCATTTTATTCAAATGGATTTCAAGTGTAGCAAATTATAAATTGAGATGAAATTGAAAAAAAGAATTTTGTGGAGTTCGTTTCTTCTAAATAAATATGCTTTAAGGCAACTTCTTTGGCAATGGTCCAGTTTGTAATTTTGTTTATTAACTTGCCACTTATAAAATGCATGATTACTTGTATATAGATCAATTAAGTTAGGGTAAACTTTCCCAAAGTCCTTAGAGTTTCACCCTAATTCATCTTGAAGTCCATTAGTATTCAAAATGAACATTCTGCCCCGAAACTCCAAACATCCTTAACAGATGTTAAAAAATGACTAAACTAACAACACTAAAACATGTCTTTCAATCCAGATTACACAATTCAGTTGACTATCCATCTCATAATTGATTCCATTCTATTGTTTACCCCAACGTTTTCCATCTCCTTCCTTGCTTTTTCAAGCATAGCTTTCTCAATTAGTGAATGGAGTATTTGAGTTGAGAAATGATTTGTCCACATTTAAGAATCACATACGAGACTTCCTTGTGCAATGAAAAGAATTTTCAGCTTAGGGTAACAAAGATCTCTATGCAGAAGAGGCTGCTGTACAAAGCGAAGAGAGGGACAATAGATGCTTTCTATCCTAGGGCTCATTGCCCCAAATGAGATACAATATGAGATGTTGGACTTGTAGATGGGGCTAATTTTGCCTTGGAAGCTATATATTTTGACTTGGGAGTTAAGATGTGCCTTAGTTTTACCACCAATAGTCCTGAATGTGAACTGATACAGCATTTTTCACCCATTGTTTCTCATCTTTCCCCATAATTCCCATATTTGTTGAAAGCAGTGAATCGTGGAGGCGTTGTTGCACACAGGTTTGGCAGCTGGAGATGCTGCCTATACGTCTATTGGTGATATGTAGAATATTTAGGTGTTTGACCTAGGGATATATATTGATCGAAGTCATATTACAGGTTTTCTAGCTTCAGCATGATATTTGTATTCATCATGATGGTTGGGATGCAGTGCAGACTGTTTAGATGACTCATTTTGAAGTATTGTTGATTCATCCCAGGTTAAAGAGAATAACCTCGGAGGCTTTTGCAGAAATTTTCTTTCCTTCTACCTTTTTTCGATTTAAGTAGAATGCCATGTTATGTGTCTCAAAAAAAAAAAAAAAGCACTGCTGGGTTTTTTATGAGCTTGCAATGGCTGTTGTATCAGTAGCTGTCTTGAACAAATCCTACGAAAGGATATGTGAGTGGTTGTCTCTTGTGTGTGAAAGGATATGTGAGTTGACTCAGTAGTCTTTGGGGAAGGGTAAAATGAGTATAAAATGATGGCCATGTCATGAAGTTAATGGAAAGTCAAATGGTGCGTAACAGCAGGACTTATGCATCCGGCGAAGTATATTATTAGGGGGCAGCGTATCCATTTTAAATACTAATGGACTTAAACTGAATAAGGTTGAAACTCTAAGGGCTTGGGGGTAATTTACCCATTATATTAGAATTGCTTTTATATTTTATCATTTATTGATTCTTAATCAATTGTAATTTTTCTTTATTCTATTTGCTTTTACTTTAAAACTCAAACAAAATAGTAAAAAGCAAGTCTGAAAAGCAATAATCAAATGAACTGGACATTTTTAACTATTTTTAAGCTTCTAGATTTTTTGCTAGAGTTGTCAAGAGTGAAAATTTCCTTCTTTTTTTTTTTTTTATCTTTTGCATTTTCTGCCCAGCAATGAATTTTCTGTTTATTTGTAGCTCTCGTTCTTGACAGAACTACGACAAAATGGGTATGGCAGAAAACAATCACGATATGGAGGAGGGGACGCTGGAGATTGGCATGGGTAAAATGTCTTGCTTTATACCAACTGCATGATCATAAGCAACTTTGCTTATGTTAAATTGATTTATTGTTTCAGCTATGAATTAAATGCTCTCTTTAATCTTGAGGGAGTAATTGTTGATAACATTCTGGTTGATATTGCCACATGTATTGCAACAGGCAGGATTTGTCGCACGAAAGAAACTGTTTCAGTTAAAAGACTAGTTATCTTACTTTTCTTGGTTCCATTGCAGAGTATAGAACTGTTTCTGGAGTTGCTGGGCCTTTAGTAATCCTCGACAAAGTGAAGGTGAGTTATGTTTTTCTTACCATTATCTACTATCATTCTTATGCTATCTTAATTTTGATTTCAACTCTTCATAATTTGAGGGTTAATGGTTTCTCCAGGGACCCAAATATCAAGAAATTGTTAATATTCGTTTAGGGGATGGAACAACCAGACGTGGTCAAGTCCTTGAAGTTGATGGAGAAAAAGCTGTTGTTCAGGTAATGTCTGTCTTAAACTCTCCAGCATTTCTTCGTATATGAATTGCTATTATGTGCACCATACAATATGCTTGGTTTATATTTATGGTGAGAGGTCTTATACCTTAGTCTGGTGCTGCCATTTCACTAGCAGCAGATGCATATATTCCTTGTGCGCTCTACTTATATGGCACTTTGGCTAGGTTTTTGAAGGAACATCTGGAATTGACAACAAATACACGACCGTGCAGTTTACAGGAGAGGTATGTAATCTCCTCCTTTCTATTTTTTTTGTTTGATTCTTGTCGTACATCTCTAATTTCGTTATGAAAAATAGCTGCCCTGGAACTCGCAGCTGGAAAATTATTCAAATAGCTTCTTCAGAAAATTCTGTAGTTGAGATTACTGTTTAGCATCATTTGTCAGATTGAATGTGTTTAGACATTGCAAGGCATGTTGCTGCATTTGTAGTTGTTTCTTGAATTTTGAGGTAACTGGTGCTTAATTGATTAGAGGGGAAATAAGTCTGGTTGTTCCTAGACCTTGTAGACATGTTTTGTCATGTAGTGAACTAAGATTCTCTTTTGGCGACTGGAATTATACTGGCTGTTTTGGCTGCTGTTATGGTAATAGTTTATCTTTTTGGGTTTAAGTGATCAGCCCCTTTATTGGTCTCTGAAACCAAATTAATGTTTGCAATTAACTTTAAATATCAGGTTCAATGGCTGTTTTGGCTGCTGTTATAGAATAGTTTATCTTCTACGGTTTATGTATCAGCTCCTTCTTTGTTTTCTGGAAGCAAATTAATGTTTGCAATTAACTTTAAATATCAGGTTTAATGTAGTCAGATTAGCGACATATATTTCTGCCCAACACCATGGTTTGCAACCTTTAAAAAAGGATGTCATGCCCACAGAGGAACCGTAGAGAGTAATTTTCACATGCTGTATGATGGTTAATAGCTATCAGACTGTTACTTATTTGGTTTATCGGGAACTGTTTATTTTTCCACTTCCTGCCTTTCTGGTTACAAGGTTAAGTTTGTGCAATCAAGCCGTTCGACTATGTCTGTTTTTCCTTTCTTTTTTTCTTTTTTTGAAAATTGCTTGTTTATGGTTCAATTTCAGACATAGAAGTCATTAGGCATTGGCAGCTAATATGAGCCATGGCTGTTCTTAGAAACAAAAATAAGCCACTTTACTATCATGTTGTGTGTGATTAAGTTATCACGGCATTCTAGAGGTTTCACTAGGTCTTTATTTGGTTTGTAAATGTGGATTATGCTTAAATGGTAAATCAATGTGTTGGGGCACGCACTTGCACAAAATGGGAAAAAAAGAACAAGAAAAGAGCAACTGAGTTTCACATTGTCTTTTAATTGAGGTCAGTATTGCTGTTTGCTATTTCCTGATTATTTTGAACCATTACAATATTCTGTAGGAGGCATGGTTGCAAGGTAGAAGAAAATTGGGAAGAGCCTGTTTTGAGTGCATTTTAGGAAAAATATTTCTTTTTTTTGCTGTGAATTTTTCTTCTGTTTTGAGCTCATTTGCCCTTATTCTTCTGACTCTATTTTCTAGGTGTTGAAAACTCCTGTCTCTTTGGATATGCTTGGGCGCATTTTTAATGGCTCTGGCAAGCCAATAGATAATGGTCCACCTATCTTGCCTGAGGCATATTTGGATATTTCTGGTAGGCAGTGTTGTGGAATGAATTATTTTTGAACAGTATAAGCTGCTTCTAACCATCAGCTTGTTAGTTGCTGCACATTTACTTATCCTATGATCTATTACTTTGCAGGGAGTTCTATTAATCCTAGTGAGAGAACCTATCCCGAAGAAATGATACAGACAGGGATCTCGACAATTGATGTTATGAATTCCATTGCTAGAGGGCAAAAAATCCCTCTCTTTTCTGCTGCTGGTCTTCCCCATAATGAAATTGCTGCTCAGATTTGTCGCCAGGCTGGTTTGGTGAAACGATTGGAGAAGTCTGGGGATCAGCCTGAGGTGAAGTTCATGTATTCATATTGATTAGCTAGTAGTGATTTAACATCCTTGATAGTTTAAGTAACTGAACTTGCTAACCGTAGTATATGCATCATTGATCTCTTTCTGAAGGATAGCCTGATATAGGTGTAAGCATTTACGTTACTTACTATGTTCAAATTGGACACTCTTAGATGCTTTCACAGTGTAGTTTGGTGGAAGCAATGATATTTTGGAAGTTTTCTGCTCAATCTATGAAGTTTGACTTAAGTGGCATTTTAGTTTTCTAATCTGTGATAAAAAGTTGCTTTTCCCTTTGGAGTGAACTTCAAATTGAAGATCACATAATAAACATCTCGTACTTTGTGTTAGCAAGATTATATTGTAGGTTAGCATTGGTATTTCTGACTTGTGAAAATATGAGGCAGTTGTCCTAGATATGGCTGTTTCTTTCTACCTTTCTTACTATCTTGTTGATTCTTTTGAGCCCTTACCACTAGATTCATAGCAAGTTGATTGTTTAACTCACCCGATCTTTTTTCAGGGTGGCGAAGAAGACAATTTTGCAATTGTTTTTGCAGCTATGGGTGTAAACATGGAGACCGCACAGTTTTTCAAACGTGACTTTGAGGAAAATGGCTCAATGGAGAGAGTGACCCTTTTCCTAAACCTGGTATGCTTTATTTATTTTATTTAGGTATTTTATTTGGGGAGGTTGTATCTATAGGAAAGAATTTATTTGTAGCAAGAAATTACCTTCTGCTTTCTTCTTTACAGGCTAATGACCCCACAATTGAACGTATTATTACTCCTCGTATTGCTCTTACGACTGCTGAATATTTGGCATATGAATGTGGGAAGCATGTTCTTGTGATCCTTACAGACATGAGTTCTTATGCTGATGCTCTCCGTGAGGTAAAAAAAAGCAACCATGTCTCATGTATGCAATCTCTCTGGCATGCATGATTACCAGCTGTGGAAAGCAGAGGTCTATGGACCCATATATGATATTCTTCCCCATCTTTTATGATTCTGGTTGCTCTTGCATTCTGGATATTTTATACTTACATTTGAGAAATGTATTCAGCTCCCAAAGGCTCTATGTGAATGCTGGAAGTTTATTGTCTTTTAATTATCTTAAATTTCTTAGGATTTATAGGATTTCATACCACTTGTATGAGACACACTACTATTGCTACTGCAGGTGTCTGCTGCCCGAGAAGAAGTACCTGGAAGACGTGGATATCCTGGGTACATGTATACAGATTTGGCCACAATATATGAGCGTGCTGGACGAATTGAAGGGCGAAAGGGTTCTATCACACAAATTCCAATCCTTACTATGCCCAATGATGGTAATGCATCTTTTAGCTATATTAACTTTTTGCACAGCAATACCTGCTTTAATTGTAATTCTGATTCATATCTTCAATCAATTTATCGTTTTGGGCAGATATTACACATCCCACTCCAGATCTTACCGGATATATCACAGAGGGGCAAATATACATTGACAGGCAGCTCTATAATAGACAGGTAATGTCAAAACTAGCCAGTTCAAGTTATCAACTTGTGTTTCTGGGAGGTGTGCAGGCCCACAAATTATCAGCATTATTTCCATCAATATATACATAGAATTTCATTTATAATATGGTGCTTTATATAGAAACTGTGTGTTCTCCATCCTTGCATTGCTTTAGTAGATTTCTCATGGTGACTTGGGTTGAATGCGGAAAATCATGGTGTATGATTTGATGGCATCTACCTTGGTTGCCTAACCAGTTGATTTCAGATTCAACAATACTCTTGATATCTTTTTTTAAAGTGGATTTTGGTGCATATAGTTCTTCATATAGATGACATTGTAGTTGTTCTGTGTCAATTAATAATTTGTTTGTCTTTCTGAATTGGACAGATATACCCACCAATCAATGTGCTTCCATCGCTGTCTCGTCTGATGAAGGTGAGGATAGCACTCATAGAGAATAGCATTGAATCAGTTAAGATGAAAAGCATACAAATTGTGACTTAATGTGAAGTATAATCTTTTTTCTTTTCCTTCTGGCAGAGTGCCATTGGTGAGGGGATGACACGCAGGGATCATGCTGATGTGTCTAACCAGGTCTGAAGGCATTGGTTGTAGTGGTATAATTTCAATCCTCTATTAAATGTAAAGGCATCTAACTTTTCCTTCTGTTTCTCAATCGTTTTAAATTTCAGCTGTATGCAAATTATGCTATTGGGAAGGATGTCCAGGCCATGAAAGCTGTGGTTGGAGAAGAAGCACTTTCTTCTGAGGATTTGGTTACTCTCTTTTCCCCTTTTTCATCAATTTTCTTGCACTGTTATTTGTCTTGTAATTTCTTAGAAAGAACCTAATGTGATGTTATTGAATATAACAGCTATACTTGGAGTTCTTGGATAAATTTGAAAGGAAATTTGTCACCCAAGGAGCATATGACACCCGCAACATCTTTCAGTCACTTGATTTGGCATGGACACTGCTTCGCATATTTCCTCGTGAACTTCTCCACCGTATACCAGCAAAAACTCTGGACCAATACTACAGCCGAGATGCAGGTAACTGAAGGAGACAAAATCATGCCTTAGAATGCCCCCTTCATGGTTGTCTCGACAAGTTGTTTATTTGCCCTTATTTTCATTCATAAGTTGCCATCTCCTTCGACTGCTCAAATAATAATGGTTGAATTCGAGTTGGAGATCTGTATGAAAGCTCTTTGGGGTAGTCAAAATATTCTTTGGAACAGTTACAGATGCTGTAATTTTTGTAGTTTCTGTTGATTAGTGTTGGTATGACGTTAGGGCTCATGGGAATTACAAAGCCCTTTGTGTTGCTTGTTCCACATTGCTGTTTGATTTTGGCAATCCAAATGGGTTTGGATTTTTTATATTAATGAGACAATACAGACCAAGGCCAGTGCTTCCCAAATGCCGTGGCTACATTTCTTTGTCTTGCAAGGTACGTACCACAAATAGCACAACTTTACCACGGGCTGTAAATTTGACTGGACTTAGGATTCAAATGGTCCAGCTCTAAAAATTGCATTGACACAAGTTCTTAGGGTTTGGCTTGGAATTCAATGAATAAGGTATTCGATATTTTGAGATATCTTAATTTTCATCTTTATTGTTTGATAGGGTATCCAAATTTTACAAATAGTAATACTTGATTAATTTTTTGAATTATTACTTGAATTCGTATTGGAATATCTTAAACATTATTTGTTAAATATTGGCATCCATTAATTATTCGATTAAAATAAATTTAAAATAATTTTTATGTATATTATTAATAAAAATTAAATTAATAAATTAAAGTTAATTTACAAAAAATAAATTAAAATTTAAAGCTATATTTAAAATAATTAATGAATTATGGTAAGTATTACCTTATTTATAATAAAATATAAAACAAAAAAATGTATAATTAGCATTAATATTAAAAATCATTATGATAATCGAGTTTGAGTGGTGGATATTTTAAGACCACTATTTGATCTTGTGACTGGTAATAACTTTACCATTTACCCATCACAGTATTTTGATTATTTTGATTTTAGTATTTATAATATTTTTATCTTTTAACAAAATAAATTCTTTAATTTTAATAAATAGTATTTTTTTATCTCATCATAGTATTCTTGTTTTTTAATTAAATTTTTTTTAAATTTTAATAAAAGGTATTTTTATCATTTACTCATTATTCCTTAACTATTCTTAAAATTATTTTTATCAACCAAATAATAGAATAAGTAAAATAGCAATTTCTATCCTATTCCATGCTCATGAACTAATCTATATAATAATTATTTTTTTCTTATTCTATTCTCTTGGAATGACTATTCTTTTATTCTTCCCCCCCCCCCCCCCCCCCCCCCCCCCCCCCCCCCCCCCTCAATTCATTTCTTTCTAGTGGTCAAGCATATTGTAAGGTTTATTTAATGGCTCTTGAATAGTTTAAAGGGCTTATTTAAGCAGTATGTCAACAATCTTTATCGTAATCTCTTCCAACTTCAATCTCAACTTTGCTAGCATAATCCATGAATTGTGACATCAACTTAAATTTTTTGAGAAGTACTTACTTGTTGAATATTAGCAATAACAAGTGAGCTTTTAAATTGTTCTATTACATATGTGTTACACTAAGCACTACTAGCAAACAAAAGTCTAAATATTAATCCTACCAATTTGACTTGAACCCTATTTGCTTATTTAAATTACATATTTATTCAAAAATTAAAATGTTATTTAAATATTATAAAATTAAAATATTTAACAAAAATCTACTAATTAAAATTTAATAATATAATAACACTTTTGAATCAAATTCAAACTTAGAACATCATGTCCAATCCAATTTGACTCGGATCAAGCTCAACTCAAGTGTAATTTTTGAAACTTTGGGAAGCTTTTGTTTATCCTTTATGTTTTCTTTTAAAAATTGTGTCTACAGTGGCACAAATAAATTTCTAATCTTAATTAAAGTTGATGTAAAATGAGAAAAAAGGAAAAGAAAGTAACAAAATCAAGAAAGAGACACTTATTCAGATACTGTGCCCAAAGTAAAGTTGACTCTGTGCTCCCATGTTTCTTTAGTAACGTCCATGCATTTCTTTGGTTGTACACGAAAAGGATAATGAGGATGAGATTGAAGTGGAGAAAGAGGAGGTTTTCATGCAAAGTAATGGTTGCTTTTGCTTGTGTGATGGAAGCCAAGCCATCCGCCAGCATGGACTGCATGTGATGATGTGTTCCCCCCACCCACACAGTTCCACATGACGAAAAACCTTTCAACAAATTCTCAATTATTCATCTCCCTGTGTAATTATCAATTTCCGCACCATGACGGAGACGTGCACTCAAGCCTCCTCATTTGCCACCGCACGCTTGCTGCCATCCATGTCTCCTTGTGTCTTCATGTGATTAATTATTATTAATTAAAACTTAATGGAAAGAGACAAATTTATTTTAACTTCTGTTGAGACGTTTTAAGGAATTGTTACTTCAAAACATTATTTATACCCTTTGTTTTGTACTTGTAAAATTTGAATATATTGGGTGGCCAATGAATTTAATTGTACATTTAGGGTTGAAGTTGATTTAATTAATTAAAAAAGGAAAGTCAAAATTTGAGCTCGATTTCATGGTTCAAACTTCAAATTTAATCGTTGGGGTCATTTTCTTTCTGTTTACTAACTCAACTAAAATGGAACTAATTATAAAAGACGCCGCTAGTGCGTGGCGTGAGAGCAGTGCAACTCCAGCTAGGGCATATCGCAATGCTTTTTTTATTTTACATTATATTTAATTTAATATATATTTTTTATTTTAAAATAAATAAAATTTTATTATTAACAATTATAATTTTTTATTTTTAAATTAATAAATATTATATAATCATATTATCTTATCACATAAATATATTATATTATTAATTTTAACTTTATAAAAAATAAAAATATAACAGCTAACATCAAATAATGTCCCTCTGTACTTCACCTACAGGCTATAGGCTATAAATAAAAACAAAAGAAGGCAAAAAGGAAAACAAATAAAAGGGAAAAAATTGTTTCAGTGTTCTTCACCTTTCCAGTTGGCGCTGCAAATATCTCGACTGCGCGCCCCCCGCCCCCTCATTTGCTTCTCCGCATAGAGCGGGCAAGAAATAGAAAAGTAGTGAAATATTTTATTAAAAAAGAAAAAGAAAGATCAGAGAAGAGAAGAGGAGAGAAAAAGAACAAGTAAATAGGTGGGTAAAGGAGAGAGAAAATCGGGAGGGAGAATCGGAATCGGAATAGGGAGCGGGCAATGCTGGAATTGGTTGGCTGTGAATCCAAGTGAGAGAGTATATGGGGGGAAGTGGCACTCTCGTGGACGGTGTTCGTCGCTGGTTTCAACGTCGCCATTTGATTACTTCTTCTGATAATAATACGAATAATAATCCGAGACAAGATAATGTTGTCAAACCGAATCAGCATGATCATTCAGCTTCTTCTCTGACTCAAAAGCAACAACACCTAGAAGGAGGAGGGGACCTCGTTGTTCAGGATTTCGATTTTGCTTCCTTGAAGCTCGTCAAAGTTCCCAAGCGTAATTACTTCCTCATTTCTTCCATGGAATCTCAGAAAAAGGTAATTTTTTTACCTTTTCTTGGAGATCTGATTTCACTGGCTATTTCTTTTATATAAATTCGATATGAAATTTTTTTTATTTGGAAAAGGAAAATCGGGAAGACATTGCTCATTAAGGATCAAATCAACCTTTATTTTCATTTATTTTCTTAATAAAAATAGATCAACTACTTTCCTTTAATGATAATTAATTGATCGATTAACAAAACTTCTGTTTTAGGACTCTTTAATGATGTCCAGTGAATATTATATATATATATATATATTTGTCTTTTGATGATCTTGTTATATCTTTTTACCGCATTAAGATGAGTCAAATTTTATGAAATTATCCTGCTTGCTAATTTAATAAAAGATTGCAAATGCCATTGCTTTTTTTTTTTTTAAACTTTTTTATAAATAATGAATTTAATTATTATTTTCTTATCATATTTCTTCCTGTACAATAATTCCATATTGCTTTATTGATCCTTTATTATTTTTAGCAGTCATCTTGTGTAGTACAGCTCATTGAGAAGTAATGTATATTTCCATCAGCACCACTATAAAATCGATTGCTTGCATTTTTTAGATTTTGAAGCTGGAAGCTTTCTTTATATTTATGTTCTTCTCCCATACTCAATCTATTATTTGAAAGATACGATATTGCCCTTAATATCTTCAGCAGCATTGTTCTATTATTGTATATTTTGGAAAAGAAGTGCGTTGTTGTGTCTAGGCTATCATTCTGCTTAATATACCCGGATTTTAATTCATTGAAACATCCATATTCCGTAATATGGGAAAATAAGGGGCAATGTTCCTTTTAATATTATATGTTTAAATTTATTTATGGCAGCTTCTGAGAGGTATGAAGGGAAGCCTGTTCCTGTCATTTTGGAAGGCTAATAAGAAATGTTATTGAGAGGCTGCATCTGTGGTCCTGAAGTTTTGAATGACTGTTTTTTGGTAGAAAGTTCGATTTTCACCTTAGCTAGCGTGCACTTTTAGACTTAATTTCTTTGTTTTTTATTTTATAGCATCAGTGATATAATAAAATAAAAGAGTCGATAATCTATCTTTTCAATGAATATATCTCCTGTCCCCCTCCATTTTTGCTCCTTGTCTTTGAATAGGTTTTTTTGATGTTTATAAGCAATGGTGCCGTGCAGGGTGCACTTGAAACAGAATTTTTCACTGAGTATGGGGAGGCAAGCCAGTATCAAATTCAGGAGGTCATTGGGAAAGGAAGTTATGGGGTTGTTGGTTCTGCAATTGACACCCACACTGGTGAAAAGGTTGCAATAAAAAAGATCAATGATGTCTTTGAGCATGTCTCTGATGCGACACGGATTTTGAGAGAAATCAAGCTACTGCGGTTGCTTCGGCATCCAGATATTGTAGAAATAAAGCATATTATGCTTCCTCCATCACGACGAGAATTCAGAGATATTTATGTCGTTTTTGAGCTGATGGAATCTGATCTTCACCAAGTAATTAAGGCCAATGATGACTTAACTCCTGAGCATTATCAATTTTTTCTATACCAGCTTCTTCGCGGTCTGAAGTATATACACACAGGTCAGTGCTTTTTGGTATGCTTCCCTACCCCCACTCCTTAGTTTTGTTATTGATTTTTTTTTTAATTTCTTGCAGCAAATGTATTCCATCGAGATTTAAAACCAAAGAACATCCTTGCTAATGCTGATTGTAAACTTAAGATATGCGATTTTGGGCTTGCACGAGTATCATTTAATGATGCCCCATCAGCAATTTTTTGGACTGTATGTTGTTCTGTCACGAAGTCCTGCATTCTTGTTTTCTTAGTTTTTCTCAGAAGGCTTAATTTGCTTGTAATTTCATATATATATATATATGTATGTATGTATGTGTTATTTTTCACTTTACAGAGGATAAGTCTTTAAAACACTTATGCTAACTAAATTTGTTAAATCCATTAAGGACTATGTAGCCACCCGTTGGTATCGTGCTCCTGAACTCTGTGGATCTTTTTTCTCCAAAGTAAGTTGCTTATAATCTCATTTCAGCCTTTTCTCTTTTAATATTCTTTTTCTGGTTGCTGAGATGGTTTGCTCAAAGAGAAGAAAGAGATTTGTTTTGTTTTGTTTTGATTACCTAGTGGAAGTTTCTTTGCTTTGATTTCTTGAAATGTTTTCAACCCCCTGGCTTTTCCCTTTCTAATTCTGTGGAGCAGTGTTATCCTGTCTAAAACTTGCTTGAAACTGTTGCTTATGAGTTTGATTGCTTGAATACAATTTCTTTAACAGTAAAACCACATTAGGGCAATTTCTTTAACATCCTTTATAATATGCATTATTCGCTGTGTAATTTGATGTTATCAGTAGCATGTTGGAGTAAGGTTCCTGGAAACTAGTTTGATTCTAAGTTTTGGTCTTTGAATTGGTTGATGGCAGATTGTTTCCCGCCTCTCATGAATTATTTTTCTTACTTATGTAGAACTTCTGTTTTCTGGATGGTTTTTATTTAGCTGTCAGAAGGTTGCCATTTCTGTAAATCCTTGTTTATTATTTCTTTTGTATTTCATCAACTTTCATGGAGAAAGCTGCATTTATAAGTCTTAAGAATGTTTACTGTTGCTATTTCAGTTTGGTTTAACACTGTTAACATGTTACCTGAAAGTTGTTAAAATTCCTTTTGAACAGTGACTAATTACGGTAACTGCCTTTGTAAATAGATTTTGTGCAAATTGGAAATTTTTTATTAAGAACCTTGATTTGCTATGACCTTAGAGAGGCTATGTATTTGATAGGTTTATTGTCTGCATGCTCAAATCTTTGCTAAATAAGCAATGAAATGAGCATATTAGCACTTAGCTTAGGTGCTATAGACTCATTGGTTCGATATTGGATGCATTGGTCAAAAACTGGTTTCATGCAAATCTCTGAATAATATCTAGTCATTACTTAGCTCATAGAAATTCTGCTTTAGCATTTAAGAGAGCCAGGGAGAGAGTGAGTGTTCTCTAAGTTTAACGCAAAATTGTTGTGCTCTTTTCTTCTAGTTCCACCTGTAACTGTGGATCTGGTTGTAAGCCATGTGCTGTTATCCTGAATATTTGGCCACTTTTGATGTTGTTGGTTTACCTATCAATTGTCTCCATCAGCCCTATTTTTTTGTGTGTGAGTGTGTGTTGTGGGGGAGGGTGAATTACTTGTTTTTATATATATATATATATATATATATATATATTTATCTTTTGAGCATGAGAACTGCAGTATCTGATACTTCGTCTGCCTTTTGATTTATAATATTTGTTAAATATGTTTTATCAGGCTATAATTGTAAATTCTGAGTCTTTTGTCCTTTTGTAGTACACCCCTGCTATTGATATATGGAGCATAGGATGCATATTTGCTGAGATGCTTACAGGAAAACCACTGTTTCCTGGAAAAAATGTGGTGCACCAATTGGATCTCATGACTGATACACTCGGCACTCCTCCTGCTGAATCCATTTCCAGGGTTAGTTATCTTATTTTCATATATTCAATTGTGCTATTCAGTTGCTTCAACCTTACACTATTTCTGAACTTTATTGTAACGTTTAAGGTTCTAATGGAAATTAAATGCTGACACACTCATCAATACTTTATTTATTATGACCTGTCAGATTCGAAATGAAAAGGCAAGGAGGTACCTTAGTAGCATGCGTAAAAAGCTTCCAGTTCCTTTCTCGCAAAAGTTCCCTAACGTGGATCCCCTGGCTCTTCGCCTACTTGAGCGCTTACTTGCATTTGATCCAAAAGATCGTCCCACAGCTGAAGAGGTAAGATTGAGCATTCTGAGTGATTTAAAAAAAAAAAAATTGTTTCCAAAGCACTTAAAAAGGAAAGGAAGTATGTATACAAGGGATAACCCTAAAATTGACAAGAGTAATTTCTCGCTAACATTTTATATATTCAGAAAACAAAAGGGGATATAAATCCTGTCAAATTGAGATCAATGAAGGAATGATCTTGAATGCGACTGCTTTTATTTGAAGTCCCATCTGCTTCACTTCATCAAAACTATGATTATTCCTCTCACCATTGACATCAAATCAAGTTTAAATCAGCAAGTTAGGTCCTGATTTGCATGCTTCTGATATCCCTAATGGTTATGCACTATGCTTGCAGGCATTAGCTGATCCATATTTTCATGGTTTGGCAAATGTGGATCGTGAACCATCCACTCAACCTATTTCAAAACTAGAATTTGAGTTTGAGAGAAGAAAATTAACAAAAGACGATGTTAGAGAGCTGATTTATCGAGAGGTACTCCACATTTGTTGCTTTGGTATGATGTGGCTTTTATTCATAATATAGCTTAACAATCTTCTGGCTCGGAGGGAACAGATATTAGAGTATCATCCGCAGATGCTGCAGGAGTATCTCCGAGGTGGGGATCAGACCAGCTTCATGTACCCAAGGTTAGAAAATACTTATTATCTCTAAGTTAGATTAACTTTACACATATGGAAAGGGAGCTATGATGGTCATCTCTTTATTTGTGCATTGCAATATGCAATTCAGGTTTAAAAATCTGTCATATTTTCTTGAATTGTTGAATGTTCCTTTTTTCCTCCATTTGAAATCTATTGTAAAACTTTGCGAAATTTTTATTTCTCTTTAGGATGTGTAAGCATTGGAACATGTTTTGTTTTTGGTTTGGTATCATCATCAACTTGACCTATATAATGTCCGTCAGTGCAGTCACTAGCATTAGTCATCATTAGCCACAGTATCTTGATTAATATAACTATCTGAAGAACCAGATAAGATTTGAGTTAATTTTTATTTATCTTAAGATTTGAGTTGATTTCCATTTATCTTGCGGTCTGTCATTCTTTACATTCAAGTTAAATATGTCCACATTGTTATTAGCATGATGTCTGTCCTAGATATGTAACAGTCCAGAATCTTATGCTGTAACAGATTTACTGCCGTTAGACCTTTTTAAAGACTTTTCTGTTTAGTTTAGTATTGGTTAATTAAAGTTCAAGAAATGCTGCTAGACCACCTCCATTTTTGTGTCAAATGCGTGGAGAATATCCTGTTTAACATTCCCTTTTCTTTTAATAGACATAGGATAATTAAAGTCTGTTTCTTTCCATTAATTTGAAGTTGTCATAGTTGTTGAATTAACTGGTAGTGGAATGATGTATTGAGTTGGCAAATGTGTTTTGCCTCCCAATATAAATATAAATGGCAGATAAGAGTAGTCAATGTTTAGACCAATCACATGAACATAGTTGTGATGATGGATTTGCCTTTTTTTTATTTGACAATTTTTTATATGCATAGTCTAGTCAAGCTTTCTTGGGATGAAAACTTGAAATTCTAGCAGATGAATAAATGGTGTCATTTCTTGCTTTCTTAACAATTGCGATACCACTATATTAATATGGTAAAACTGGAAGGGTTGGTCAGTAGTTTGTTCTGGTAACAGCTGTACTTTATAATCTAAGAAAACTATATGCAAATATGAGCTTTTAAGTTCAAATTACTAGCTAATTACTTGCTTTGCTGGTATTATTCATCTTTGATATGAAAATGTGCTTATAGAAAGGAAAAAGGACAATACATTTATGAAAGAATATTTAATGATACAATAATATTTAAAAAAAGGGTTAGTATTGCCCAATATTTTGAAAACCTAGCTAGTGTAGGAACTGATGGCGTGGTGGTTTTGGTTTAAATGGTTCAACCAGCTTGTTCTAAAGATTATAAAATAATCTTTTGTAAGATGGTAAAAAAAAACAAACTAAACGAATTAATAAAAAATTAAAATGCTGTTCAACCTTTATCCTATTCAATGGTTCACCCCTTTTTTTTTTCCGATTTTTCTGGGTTTTGACTAGACCTGGTTCAATGTACATATCCCAACCAGAGAGCCCATCAGTACCTGTACAACTGGTTCAACTTGCCGGTCCAGTCCAGTACTGAAAACACTGGGGTTACCCATACATGATGTATGTATGACAATTTTTTCTTTTGCTAAAAGTATGTCAAGATTTTTTTGCTAAAATCTGGCGCTGCTTCATGATATCATAGGATGATCAATGACAGCTTCATTTTAAGCACTACATTGGAGTCCGGAAACTAACTTTGATAGATGAAGTCATGCTCTCAATGCCGTACACAGTCTTCATTTTTGTTGTTGATTGGGTTTTATTTCCTTTCTTAAATGGGAGAAGTTCTAAATCAATGGGATTTTGATAGTTTGGGTTTCCTTTTGTTGCTCGATATGATGTCTAAAGATCGTCCTTATATGCTTTAAAATCATTTCAGCAAATAATTAGCTTTTGAATGGCTTTGTAGATATCAGATCAATTCCCAATTGAAGATATGCCATACTAAAGTGAAATATAGGGGGGAAGGGGAAACAAATCTGAAAATTCTAGTTTAACGTATTTTATGCTACCATCACAAGTAACATCTTGTTGTCTTTTTAATTCAATAGTGGTGTTGATCGATTTAAGCGACAATTTGCACATCTGGAGGAACATTATGGTAAAGGGGAAAGAAGTACTCCACTTCAAAGGCAACATGCTTCTTTGCCTAGGTATGCTTTGTAAAATTTCAGGAGCTGCTTTCATACTTTAGATGGCAGAACATACCCCCTAGTTTGTCTAGTTCGTGTTGTTTCTCCATTTTCCTGATCAACCATGCTATCTTCTTTTCAGAGAGCGAGTTCCTGCTCCCAAGGATGAGAATGTTGTTCAAAATAATGATTTTGAGAGGCGAACTGCAGCCTCTGTTGCAACATCTCTCCACAGTCCTCCAAGCTCTTTGGATGGTTCAGAAAACACAAATGCAGAAGGGCAAAATGGCCCTAGCAAACCAAACTATAGTACTCGTAGCCTATTGAAGAGTGCTAGCATTAGTGCCTCAAAGTGTGTTGTTGTGAAGGAAAAGAAAGATTCAGAGGTAAGACTATTCTTTCTTTACTAAACCCATCTCTTGACAAACTAATATCAACTTAATATTAATTAGAAAACGTAATCTGAAGTGGAAACAAGCTGAAAACAATTATCACAGAAGCTTCAACTGTTTGTATTGTAGCAGACAGCACTTTCCTGATGCGGAACCAAATGAATGTTATGCACTTACCTTATTTACACCACATTTATTTTTACTGCTGCAGGAGGAACCAATTGCTGAAGTGAACGATGAGATAGTCGATGCCTTGTCTCAGAAGGTTGCAGCTCTTAACGCCTGATTGAAACTTCCAATCGACTTTTGGAGGATTTAGTTAGCTTGGTGCATTACCCATTTTTTCCCTGACTTTTCCGAAGGAGGGCACTTCATAGGCAAAGATTTTGTATTTCTCGGGCAGAAGCTAACAGTAGGAGTATTATAAGGGGTATCATTGTTGTGAAACACAGTACAAAGAAGGCTCCGCCTTTGTCGTGTAGTTGTACTTACCTTTGAAGAAAGCAAGAGTGTATTTGTTATATTGTGAACTTTAGAATGCCATGCCTAGAGAGTAAGGATTATGATTTTTAAGGAAAAAAAAGAAAACAATGTATACTGTTTCCCTTTGGAAACGATAGTGTGCTATGTTTTATTCATCATACTACTAGGAGTGGGATTTTGTGAAGAAATAGAGGCAATGTTTGGTGTCTAGTCTTTCTGCACAAATCTCTTTATTGTTCAAAGCAGGATTCATCTCACAGGGAGGCTTGTCTCTCCCTTAATAGAATCTTGAATCCATTGGAAGGACCAAGTTATTAGCTGTGTATTTTCAATGTAAAAAAGCATCGTTGCCTGCAACTTTGTTCATAAATCATTCCTTCCTCTCTCTCTTTCGTCCGATTACCAGTCAATGCATTGTTAAATGATCATTAAAATGCCTGTAGGCATCTTTTCTTTGAACAAAAAACCACTCTATCTATCTATAATGCCTTATAAGACAAATTCTCTCTGGATAAAAACTTTAAAGGAATCCCATACTCTAGGACAAAGGGTGTGTTTATCTTGGAGTATGTAGTTTTTAAGTATTAATTTTTAATTTGCATTTGCCTTTTTTGATTTCGAGGCAGGGATTTTAGTTAAATAAGAGATATATGTAATTATTATTGAGTTAAAAGCTTGAATGTTTAAATTTACAGACAAAGTTAATTTTAACTATTAATATAGGTTTATTTTTCTTAGTCAAATTGTGTAATTAGTACTTGTCCCTAGTCAAAATGGTAGATTTAGTTTTTATACAATAATTTGTTAAAATTGAATCTTTGGACTTTTCAAAAGTAGTATCGCTAGTCCAATGTGTTAAAAATTTTCTATTATCTATATTAATGTTTGGTTGTGTTGACGTGGCATTTTCTTATTGATATGATATTAAATTTAATGAGATGACAATAATGATGTGACATTTTACTAATGATGTAATAGTAGTGTCGATATGATGTGATTAAGTACTACCATAGATTTTATAAGTATGGACATGAAATTATCTAATGTGAGTTAATGAATTTCTGTATTTCATAATTTAAAGTAGTGAAAAGAATGTTGTGAAATAGAAAAAAAAATACCACGTCATCATTAATAGATGATTATATTTAATGTCAGATCAATAAGAAAATATTATGTTAGTATAAATAATAGAAAAATTTTAATGCTATTAACAATTGGATTAATATTGTCAATTTTAAAAAATATAGAAATTTAAATTTTACAAATTATCGTATAGGGATTAAATCAATCACTTTACCAAAATGCAAAGATTAATTGCATAATTTAATCATTTTTCTTTGATGTTACAATAATGAGATGTTAGCTAGCTCTTAGACACATCCTTTGGGCTTATGCCTTATTCATGGAAGCTTAGGTTTGGTTATCCTTGCTTACACGATTTCGAGCATGTGTTTTTAAAAATTTTGAATTAACAAGATGCAATTAAAATCAACAAAATTCAATCCAAACTTACTTCTACATGATACCAACATATTCATGCAATTAATATATGAATTTGGTGACCAAACATGCAAGAAAACCATTGAATCAAAAGAAGAAACTAAGTTGTACAAATTTGAAAATAGTTTTAAAAATTCTTATATGTACGAAATCAACATACAATTATACCATTGTCGAGAAAGGTCATGCAATCGAATTATACAACATAGTGAAAAATTAAAATTTTTTCCTCAAACAATATCATACTTTGCTTATTTAATATAAATTATCGTAGCTATTTAGTAGAAGATTATTTTTCGTTTGTGCTTTTGATGTTGAAATCAAGAGGCTACAACAATTTGTGATTCAAAAACTTCTCTACTTATAGATAGTCGATTTTGGTTAATATTTATTTTCTAAAGAATTATTTTACTGCATAACATGTATAGAGAATAATGAGAACAACCATTACTAGCGAAGCTATACTTCATGCAAAACAACTAGAACAAGCGAAGCACTACTTCAAACGAAACAATTAAAATAAGCGAAGCACTACTTTATATGGAATAATCACTTCAAACGAATAGCAGTGAAAGTAACTTGGAATGAATGACAAAGTTCGCAGGTTACTTTCATCTTAAGATATTTTAAAGAGTTTGATTTGATGGTTTAGATATGGAGGTAGTTAAAGAGATCTTTTATTAATTTTTTTCTGAAGTACATGTGTTTCTCCTTATTACCTTTTTCTCTCGTATTTGTTCATGTATACTTTTTTCCTTTAAGTTGTTCTATACAGCTTTTCCTGTATATCTCTTCCATTTATTCTGTACTCAAGAATAAATCTCATTATGTCATTAATGATCATAAAATCTATTATTTTAATAGTCACATAATAGATTTCTTATTGTTACTCAATGTTAAAAACTTAGCAACAGTCACCCAATATTGAGGTTGCTATTCATTACGTGTAATAAAACCCATTCTTGAGTAATTGCCATTTTTGATACTATATATATGACTTTCACAATTCATTTAATGGACTTTTTAAGAACTACCTTATTCTCATGCATAGCTTTTCTCTCTAGCCCTCTTACACATTTTTTTACCTATTCTCTTCTTGTTCTCTTCCACCTACCACAACATTCAGTACTTCTAGAACTGCTCTGATCTTCCTTTCTGTTGCCTCCGGTATATCCTTTACTTGGTTGCAATGCTTCCTTTTCTTATCACAAGAACTCTTTTTATATTTTTGTGATTCCACTAGGGAGGAGTGATTGCATAAAGTAAGACTTTTATTGCTACAATATTGTGTTACTTGAAAAGATGAAGAGTTCCATTAGCAACCAAGATGCACTTGTCCCCTTCTACATTCAAGATCAGATGAGAATAATCCAATTTTCTTAAGAGAGGTTACAAACATTGGAGGACAATAATAAGCGAATGATGGAGACTATATCCCAATTCATGTCCTTTACTGCCACCATTTTCCGAACCCAACTTGTGCACCGTAATGAGGGTGTACTTAGACTTGACAATTCGTGTTTTCGTATCTTAAACGTGTTAGATACGATTAGATACGAAACATGTTAAGATTAAATACAAATATGACACGAATAATTTTCGCGTCTTAAATCTAAAACACGTATACATATATGTTTCATAACTGTTTAATATGAAATGACATGATTAACACGTTTGTTAAACGTGTCAATATACAACACAACACGATTAATAACGTGATTAACACGTTTAACACGATTAAATAAAAATATTTACAATTAAATATAATTTTATTATTTAAATTTAAAATCAATAATTATAAAAATAATTATAATAAAACAAAATAATAATATCAAATATAACAAAAAAAAAGTTCAAAATTAGGGATTGGGCATGGCATAATTACATTATTATTTTTATAAAATTTTAAAAAACTTATTAAAATAATTATTTAAAATTATTTAAGTAAGGCTAAAATAATATTTAATTTTTAACAAGTTGATAAATGTGTCACATATACACGTTTAAACACGATAACATGATTGAACACGTTTATACGTTTAAATACAATAACATGACTAACACGATTAATTAACCGTGTTTAAACGAGTTATTCGTGTTTAACATGTTAAGATACAAAAATTTTCGTGTCTTAAACATGCTAGATACAATTAGACACGAAACATGTTAAGGTTAAACCTAAACCTGTTTAACCTTGTGTTGTCTCGTTTCATATCCAAAATTACCAAGTCTAGGTGCACTTGACGGAGTCACTCCTCTACTTATAAACACTGAAGGGAATGAAAGAAATGGAGAAAATGCAACCAATGTAGTTGTTGCTACAAACCCCAATCCAACCAACTCTACTGTTGCAACTACACTAGCCACTACTTCTACTGCAATAATTCCATCAGTTTTTACTCAGGAATTTGTAACAATGGAAAAGCTCTAAAGTAAAAATGTGTCGTGAGCTCTAAAACCAAAAGCTCACAGCATGCTGCAAGCTTTAACACTAGAATAGCCCCTTATATATATATATATATATATATGCCCTTTGAGATATACTCAAAAATCTTATTGTTTGTAAGCCAGCGTTTATTTGCTTCTTTCACTAAAGTTTGCCTACAAATAAAAGCTGACATGTAAGGAGATTTAGCTATCCCTTCTTTGTTTCTTTCATCCTAGTGTTTCTCTTTGTGTCTTTCTCTGACGCGTTAAAGGTTCCCATCAAAAGCGACTGATGTAAATGTTTTCTTAATAGCTTTTAATTGATAAACATTACTTTTGTGTTTAGGATATCCATGAGACAAGTGTGATTAGAGGAAAAAAGTTTTAAACTACTCTACACAATTCAGATTTATACATCATTCATGATCTAAAGCCTTGCTATAATAACCCAATTTCATAAGAGTCTTAACTATATCCAATAAGTAGATAATATACCTAGCTTCATTTGTCTAATAACTATATCAAAAATCAAACAATTTATTTGTTTGTTTGAACATAAACACACACACATTTTTATACATAAAAAAAAAAAATTCTCTTTCAATCAAAAAGCCTCATCTCATGCATGAAAAATTTTCTTTGCTCATATTTCAGTTTTAAAAAAAATTTCATGCAAAGGCAACAAGCAAAAGAAATTCAATTTTTTTGAAAAGCAATAAAAATACAAAAAAAAAGAGGGAGATAGAACACAAAATTATAAAAAGAGGAAGAAAAAACTTGTTTAAAAAGATTTGTAAAAGAATAGATCTTGTTTTGAACTTTGTTTTGTTTGAAATTTGAACGAAGCAAATTGTTCATAGTAGCTTTATATTTATAGGGCATATAGAATTAAGTTTTTATGAAAAAAGATTAACTTTTCTTTTCCAATTTGTATTTTAAGAATCTTATTTTATGAAAAATATATTGTTATATGATCAATTAAATATTACACACGATAGTAACATGTTACTACTTAAAGTATTACTAGCTAATGTGTTACTATCTAGGGTGAAATTGCTTGAGGTGTTACTACTTGAAGTGGTATAGTACGATATATTATAGTATAAAATAAAACCTTTACACTCTAAACTAATACATAAGAATTATTTTTAAGAAATAATTTTTATATAAGGGGCAAAATGTAGATAGTTGATTTTGGTTAATACTTATTATTTAAAAAATTTATTTTATTGTGTAACATTGTATAGAGAATAATGAGTGCAACCATTACAAGTGAAACTATATTTCACATAAAACAACTAAAACAAGTGAAGTGTTGCTTCACATGGAATAACTATTTCATACAGATAGCAATGAAAGTAATCTGAAATGAGTGACAGGGTTCGTGGATTACTTTCATCCTGTGATATACGAAGAGTTCGACTTGATGACTTAGATATAGAGGTAGTTAAGAGGTCTTTTCTTTTCCTCATAACAGGAAAGTCCTTTCCCTGGACATTGAACTATAATTTCTAGTATTCGTCATGCAAATAAGCAACAGCTGCATAGTTGATTGCTGACTAGATTGCTAAACATAATTAAGCATTAAGATAAAAATGTGAAAAATAGTAGGCAAAATATAATATGGATGAGATACAATAAGCTACCAATGGCACCAAGAATTCCTTTATACACAAGCATTTACCATGGAAACAATTTGATCTATCATTAGTACCTTCAGTTCCTCTAACCGTGCTTGTCAACCAATTTGATCAATTTGCATTGTTTTTATCTTTTCTGTCCCATAATCATGTGGCAGCTCAAACTCCCTTCTAAGATCTGCACAGAATTTTCCTGAACTTGCTCTTGCTTCTGGCCATGACTCCAAAACATAAGCTTGAGAAAAGCAAACGGACAGTTTATACATGAAGGATGTGAAAACTGAAAGCCTGTTCTTAATATGAAGTCATATATCCCACATTAACCTGCATGGCCAAGGCCTGTGAGAAGAAATTGCAGTTCAATGATTAAATGCTAACAAAGGAGGAGTCATGATTCATATTACAAAATCAAAAATCAATATACCTGCGAAAAGTTTTCTTTGTGCAGCATTATGCAAAAGGCTTTGTAAACGATAACCATTCAAATGTTCAACTAAAAAATCGACCAACACTTTTCCCTCATTCTATCATGAATTGATCAACAAGCTTATTCAGACTCAAAGCAAGCTAGAACATGGCACAAACTTGTCTCACATGCCAAGTACACAAAACAGGCATTTCCGCGATGGATGCACAAATAAATGAACTTCTTACTAGTGTCTTCAATTTCCCATTATTGATCATGGGCCAGCATTAGCTCCAAATAATCAACCATAATCCATCAAAAAAATCATGATAATCTTAAAGTTACAGAACTTCTATACGTTGATGAAGCCTTCAAGGAACTAGACTCCTTCCAGATGCAGCAGGACTGTCCACCTCAAACTTTCTGAACTTGGAAGCATCTGACAAGAATCCAAAAAATATGTATATATGAAAAAATTTGTTGATTAAAGACATGTAAATTAGCTGTATCAATCCTTAGCTTTTCCGCTTAGAACAGTCTCTTAACTCTCACCAGTCACCAGTAATCCCCACAAGAACATGAACCCTCCCTAAAATGGTGAAAGCGGTTAGAATCCCTTAAGATAATCAATCGGCCGACAATCTTTGATATGTATTTGATGGCATTGTGGCAGTCTTCACAAACACGTAAGTTTTTAATCACACGTATTGGTCTTCCAGCAGGAATAGAGAGAATACCATATGCCACAGCTAATTTTTCACTGTGATACTTGAGCATGTGCACCTTCTCTTCGTCATCTACATCATGTAAAATCAAATTTGTTGAGGAAACATAGCCCTCCTGCTTCATTTTTAAATCCAATTCTTCCAAGTAGGCATAGATTTTATCCCTATCTGCGTGGCATGAGTCTCCAACTGAAAACGTATGGATCTTGTTCTGTACCTCAAGCCAACTACACCCAGGCACTTTCTTCACACCAGTATCCCTCATTTTCAATCTCATCTTACTAACATCGGCCCATCTACCTGAAGCTGCATATAAATTTGAGAGAAGAACATACATTCCTGCATTTTCAGGTTCCATTTCAAAAATCAACTGAGCAGCCATTTCAGCTAGTTTGGTATTGCTATGAATTCTGCTCGCACCAAGTAAAGCACCCCATGTTGCTGCATCTGGTTCGAAAGGCATGTTTCTGATCAACTTCAAGGCCTCATCCAATCGGCCAGCTCGACCAAGAAGATCAACCATGCAAGTATAATGTCGCGAATTTGCTTTTATGCCATAATCCTGGTTCATACAGTGGAAATATTCCCCGCCCCTATCCACTAAGCCAGCATGACTACAAGCAGACAATACTCCAACCTGAAACAATAAACTGTACAAGTTAAAAACTAGGGACCAATTTTATCAAAGAAGGCTATTTAATTGCTTCTCGTAGACTATTTGCACCAATTTTATCAAAGAAGGCTACCATTGAAAATTGAAGACAGTGATTGCATCAGATTAAAACTTCCCTTCCAGTTCTGAGGAAGACTATAGTTACATTTATTGAAGTCCAGAGATTTTTATATAACGATTACTTGGAAAGCCATATTAACTCTCATCTGTCCGAACATCAAGTCCAACCACTAAGGATAGCCTATGTGAATATATTTAATTATACTATTTTAGTTGCTAGGATGAAATTATTTCGTGAATGCTTGGAATGATGTTTTTAAAGAAAACAGATTTAATGCTCATAACATGTGGCCTGACTATGTTTAAATGTTGGTCAAACAAAATACAAAAACAATAATTACCATAGTGGTATCATCTGGTTTGACACAAGCTGCCTTCATTGACTCAAAAACCTTTAGAGCTTCTTTGCCAAACCCATGTCTTGCGTAACCGGCAATCATTGTATTCCATGAGACAACGTCCTTCTCCATTATTTCTTCAAATGCACTGCAAGCTTCGTCTATGCCTCCACACTTACAGTACATTAAAAGAAGTGCATTTCCCACAAATGACCCACTTTCATATCCTGCCTTAACCAGCCGCCCATGCAACTGCTTCCCCATTTCTAAAGCAGCAATATGGGCACATGTGCTCAACGCACATGCAAATGAGGACCTATTCAACCTTTCTCCATCTCTTTTCATTTCTACAAAAAGGCATAAAGCCTCCTCATCATAACCACTTTGAGCATAACCTGCAATCATGGCTGCCCAAGACACAGGATCACGCCGAGGCATCCGATCAAACAATTCCCTAGCATGAGCTATCTCACCACTCTGAGCATACCCTGTGATCATTGTATTCCAAGAAGTGACATTTTGGCAAGGCATTTCGTCAAACAATTTCCTAGCCATGTCCATTCTCTTACATTGCACATACCCTGCAATCATTGCATTCCATGAAACAGCATTCTTTTCTGGCATTTCTTCAAAAAATTCCCTTGCCTTGTCAACCATTCCATTCTGCACGTATCCTGACACCATTGCTGTCCACGTAAATACATCGCGAACTGGGGACTCATAAAACAATCTCCTAGCTTCTTCAATCTCACCATTCTGTGCATAACCTGTAATAATAGTATTCCAAGAGATTTTATCTCGGAAAGGGATTCTATCAAAAATCCTTCTAGCATCAATGAACCTCTTTGTCTTCACAAACCCACCCATCAAACAATTCCAAGAAACCAAATCCCAATCTGCCTTCGATTCAAAAAGCCTACAAGCCTCTTCCATCCTCCCATTCTGCACATAAGTTGCAAGCAAAGCGTTCCAGGAAATTGAATTCTTATTAGGCATTCTATCAAAAATTTTTCTTGCCTCGTCAACACAACCATTCTGCGCATACCCAGACAGCATAGCATTCCACGAAACAACATCCCTTTCAGGCATTTGTTCAAACAACTCCTTCGCAGCAGCAAGGTTATTGTTCCTTACACACCCACTGATCATTACATTCCAGGAAACCAAGTCTCTTTCAGGCATTTCATCAAACAAGTTTCTTGCAAGCTCAAACTTATCATTCATCAGGTACCCAGATATCATGGCATTGTAAGAAACAGCACTTCGACGTGGCATTGAGTTAAAGACACGGAGAGCTGAGTCCAGCTGGGCATTGCGCATATGGGTAGATATTGCCAGGTTCCATTGCTTTATGTCGCAGTCAGCAACTGGTTGGGGTTTGTTGTAGTTGTTGAAGTTGTGTTTCTTCTGAGCTAGTACTTTCTTTGATGGATACTGGTTTGGCTTTGGTTGGAGTTTGCTGATGGAATGTAACTGTCTGAAACGGTGACTCCCGCGCATTGCTTTCAGCATCACATTTTTCAGCTCGCCCTTCGCTAAAGTTTAAAAGTCTTGGTACCCGCGCTTTCCTCTGGCCCTTTATATTCGACTTCCAATTATTTTATTTAGCAATGGCTAAATCCAATATTCTTTAACTTCAATGATTAAAAAACTCTCAAGAATTTAAAAACATATATTAAGTCCTTCCTACAATATTCTATTCTTGCATAACAATCATTTTATTCTCTTTTTATTTTATTTTATAAATCAAATTACATAATAATTATTTTTATCTTATTTTATTCTTATAAATAGTCATTTATTTTAACTCTTATGAGGATTAAGATAAAAAAAACTTTTGATTTTGTTGCATTTTATGTTATAAATATTGCAAAATGAAAGTTTTGGGATTGGATTATTCCATAAGGAATTTTGATTGCAATTGGATTTTAAGATCACGGGTTTGTTTGCTCAATGGACATGTAGTTTGATAATTTTGAAGAATCGCCATTAATTTTTTTTTAAATGTGATTAGTCTTTAATTAAAATTATTTTTTAATATAAATTTTAAATTTGATTTAAATTTATACGATAAGGTTTAAATTTATTACTCAACTTTGGATGATGGTTCAACTTTATTATTCATCTTTAAACGGGTGTAATTTTACTATTATACTTTATAATATAGTTAAAAATGATCAAAAGTTAATGATAAAAGAATATTTCACAAAATAGTGTAATTTTTTTTTTCATTTCTTGATTAAATTAGAAAGTATAGTGATAAAATTACACTTGCTTAAGTATGAGTGATAATGCTCCATCACCCCAAGTAAACTAATGAATTTGGATCTTATCCTATGTAATAAAAAGGTAAGTTCCTATCTATGAAATAGAGATTGAGCTCAAAAGTGTGGTTATGTATGAGAAAAGCTTTAGCACTTACAATGTTCGTTCAAAAATGTCAATTCATCATCTATTATCTTTTATAAGGCTTGATTTAATCATTCTTGGTCTTTTGGTTTGAAACAAGTGCCAAGAGCATGGTTTTCAAAATTTAGTTATACAATTGCTCAGTTTGGTTTTAGTTCTAGCTTTCATGATTTTACATTATTTATTCAACACACTTATCATGGTGTTGTCCTTTTTCTTCTCTATGTGGATGATATGGTTATAATAGGTGATGATAAGCCCTGTATTCCAAATTTACTGTTGTATTTTAGTCAATAGTTTAAAATGAAAGATCTTGACTTTCTTAGTTTTTTCTTGGGGCTTGAAGTATCCCCTAGCTCTGATAGTTACTATCTTTTTCAAGCTTACATCTAACTTGCTTTCTCAAGCTAGTATTATCAATAGCAAAATTGTCTCCACTCTTTTGAAAAGTAATGCTAAACTTACTTTGATGGACAATACTCCTCATATTGATCTTACTTTATATTGCCAACTTGTTGGGAGTTTGGTTTATCTCATAGTGAGTTGGCCTAATATTGTTAATGTTGTTCATTTAGTCAACCAATTCATGGCTGATCCTTGTTAATCTCATGTTTTAGCTTTTTTGTGTATTCTCTGCTATATCAAAGGCACACTCTTTCAAGTACTTCATTGCTTTACTCACTTTTCTCTAGTTTTATCTTAGTATTCTTATCTTCATTGGACAATGAGCCTACAGATTGTCACTTAATCAGTGGTTATTGTTTCTTTTTGAGCAATTCAATCATTTCTTGGTGAAGCAAGAAACAAACTGTAATTATTCGTTCTATTACTAAGTGTAAATGTTGTGCTCTTAGGGATGCTACTTTAGAGTAACTTTGACTTTGTCAATTATTGGTGGATACTGGTATTGTCCACTCTTTGTGACTATTTTTTGCTGTGGTAATCGTAGTGCTATCTAGATAGCTCACAATGACGTTTTTCAGGGCACACCAAGCATATTAAGCTTAATTATCATTTTGAGTGAAATCATGTGACTCAAGGGCCTTTTCATTTGACTTTTGTGTCTTTTTCAAATTAAACTGTTGATCTTTACAAGGGCTCATATTTCTAATCAATTCAAGAATTAGTTTTTAAACTCAAGTTGATATTTATCATACCACCTTGAGTTTAAAGGGGTGTTAACATAATTATAACAATTGTCTAGATTATAAGTTACATTAGTATGAGTTTGTTAGATCACGAAACTGTTAGCTTGATTTTCTCCTAAATCATTGAGAATCCTTTATATATATTTATAATATCATGTCAAATTCTGAATAGAAGATTTTTCTTTTTGTAACAATACTAATGTGTCAATAATCAATTTCACTAGTGTTATTAAATTTAAAAAATTATTTTAAACATATTATATAGAGTAGAGAATAGAATTTCACTGATCTTATTAATAATTCAAACCAGTAGATATACACATAGTACATTGGAATTGAATCCCTTAATTCTAGGGATGTCTTTCTATTAAGATAATATAAATCAAATAATAAATTACAAATTACAATCCATTAGTATAGGATAAATATTTGTGATTATCTGATATGGCCCCACAAGATGGTGGGTCCACCAAAAACACTAATCTTGGAACATAAATGAAGAAATTGTTGATGAGAAAGAGGTTTAGTGAGCAGGTCTGCAAGTTGACTAGTAAACGCAACATGGGAGACTCGAAGTTGTTAACGTTGAACCTTTTTTCGAACAAAGTGGAAATCAATTTCAATGTGTTTCATGCAAGACTGAAAGATAGGATTGGCACACAAGTATGTAGTACCAATATTGTCACAATACATTATCGGTAATTGAGAGAATGGAATTGATAGTTCAGCCAAAAAAATAGACCTCAATATATCTCAATCATGGTGGAAGCTACAACACGATATTCAACCTTTATTGAGGAACATGCAATAGAACGTTGCTTCCACAAGCTCCATGAGATCGAATTGTTACCGAGAAATAAAATATATGCATCTATGGAGGTGCAATCATCTTTGTTTCTAGCCCAATCAACATCGAAGAATGCATGAAGTGTGAGTGATGAATATCGATGGAGAAAGATCCCATGATGCAGAATGCCCTTGAGATACCAAAAAACACATTTGGTAGCATTTTAATGATTTATTGTTGGACAATACATAAATTATGATTGATGATTAAAGGCATAAGTGATAACTCTATGATATAGAGTTATTTGGGCTTAATTTTGATAATAATTTAGCGTAGTTCTCGTTGTAATGCATAGAAATTAGTTAGTTTTATTTAAATAAATTTAAATTAGCTAATTTAGGTGAGTCAATCTAATCTTAGTTAATTTTATAACTAATTTGGTGTTAATGTGATTAAGATAGGTTGTTGTTGATTTATTTGTGCTTTTGTATGCTTAATTAAGGAAGAATTTTAATGAAAGAAGGAGAGTAATTTCAAGGTGCAAACTTCTACTGCACATGTTTCGTTACTTCAGCCATAACTCTCTCTCTCTACAAAGCTCTAAATGAGATGATTCTGCAACCATTAGAAAGTTAAGAGAAAAAGATACAACTTTCATTTTTACCACTTTGCCCAGTTCAGCCTGAAAAAGGGTCAAAAATCTTATCAAATTTGGTGAACTGTAGCAGTCCTAGAGCAATTATGATTTTGCTATTTAAAGGATCAAGATCGCGGCTTTGGAAGAGGTAAGTCGTGGCCCACATAATCTGATGAGGAAATTCATATTGGAATTGACTTCTTTCTTTACCCAATTTGGCCTAACTTCAAAGCCTTACAAAAATAACCTTTTAGAGGACTTTTAAGAGAGAATGAAACACTAGATTGAGAGCTGAAAATAAAGCCACAAATATAATACTAAACTAATCTTAAGTAAGTAGAGCAGTAGCAATTGGCTTACCCCTATGCAAAGATGTATACCACTCTTGAGCCACATCTTCTAAATAAGGCCCAATTAACTGCACGACTCAAGTACTAAAACATCCTATCATAGTGAAGATCTTGTCTATACCATCTAGAAATGCTTAGGGCTTCTTTGACACATCAAACCCCGTGGAAAATTGAGGTTTCAACCTCAAGAAATCTAGTAGAGAAATATTCAAACTACCCTTATAGTGTCAAACTATTGATGGTCATTCTGATGTAGTGAACTAAGGGATGCTTGAACATAGGCGATCCTTCACCCTAACGTCTTTGCTCTAATATCTCCTGGACAATAACTCTCATATTCTGGCCTAAGTCATGCATATTAGTTGCTATCTGCTCAAGGTTCACACCCCTAATTGGAAGTCCTGTCTCAAGCTTTGAAGCTTGATCCTCCACATTATCATCAGTAGGTGTCTCAACCTTTAGTGAACTCATGATTTTACCGTGTCTGCCATGACCCATGGCAATGGGCATATGTGGTCTATCCATAACATCTATTAGAGTCTCCTACTCTATTGCGTCTTTAGAAGTTGCTCGAGTCCTAGGTAGCATGATCATACCTAGACAAGAGCAATTCATAGTGGTCTTAATATCTAGACATGTATAGCCAAGTGACATCAATAAATTGGAACTAAGCTTGGAAGAGAAACAAGAAATCATATGCTAGTTTTCCATTTCCAATTTGTACTCAAGAACACAAAGCAAAAATAAGATTCTCACAGACAACTCCAATACTGCGCGACTCGACCATGAAAAACCTAAGACTTATACAACCTAGAGTTTTGATACCCATTTTGTCATATCCCATTTTTTAAAAAGATCATGATCAGTGCATGGACCTATGTGGGTATAGTCCATTAGGCCTAAACAAGCCAAAACCAATAATACATGGGCTAGTCATCCTTTGTATTCATATACATTTCCATTCATAGTTAAGAATATGCAAATAATTCCTCAAGGCCACCACAATAAGGAACTTCTCAATGTATAATGTAGTTTCCATCACATTCCAGATAAATATTCACAATGTTATAACAATTGTGGTCCAACACATACCCTGTACCTATACTGCTATGGTTTATCCACTATAATCTTATCATTCACATGCACTCATATTCAGGACTCAACATAATATACAGAAGTATAAACAAGTATAAGTAAATCAACATTTATTTACACATCAAGTCATTATCAAAAAAATAGTTCAAGACACAACTCAACACACT